GGTAAATTTTTGCGGCTGGAGCTGGTCATAACCCAAAAGGTTCGTTAGTAGAGGCGTTCGTATCCCGAGGTACCACTGTACTTCTGCCTCCTGTTTTCCCCACAACAGTCCCCCATATATATTTCTTGTAGATAGGTAAACTTTAAATGAATTGAAGCAAAGGAGAAGAAACCATAGAAACGATGACAGAGAAATTCCCTGATTTCAAACTTTTGGTCAGGTACAAGTTGATCTTAGCTGAGCTCCATCTGAGACAGTATTTCTCAATCTCAGCAACTTTAAAATGCGTGGACTTCAACTTTCAGAATTCCTCAGCCAGCCACACTGATATGGGAGACTTCATCTCTTCAGTGGTGGGAGAAAATCCAGTAAAGTTGAGAATGCACTTGAATAATAATAGAAAAGTAGGGAGAGGTATTCAAAGGTAAAGAAACAAGAAGGAAAAAATATGGAGATAGCCATATCCTTTTCTAAAACCCAACACAACCATGAGTAACACAAAGGAAAACAAGAAGAGGGTTTTTTTCTTAAGGCTACAATAGCAAGAATAAAACGTAACAGAGTAAAAAGATACAGAAATATAACATTTCCACAACTGTAGGGAGCCCTTCATATAAAATTGAGTTTTAGAAGGTTCTGGAGAGGAGCTCAGGACCCACAGATATAGATGATCAAATGAAGAAGAATCATTCAACCACAGTTACAATAGACTGCCTATTCTTAATTAATGTAAAGAACAATGACTTTGATACATTTCTAAGAAAAATTGCCAACAACTGAAAAATTTAAAAATACTGTAATTAAATCATTTAGTTAAACTTAGTACTTCTAGATTTTTTGCAAAGGTTATTTTTTTACCTGAATTAAAGGTGACTGCACATCCTTCAAAAGTGCCCTCTGAAGTTTAATCAGATTGTTTAGCATGTTGCTTTACATCCTTTCCGTCATCTAGGTAGCCTTGAACCATTACTCTTATTCTTAAATGTTTTTATTTCAATTATTTAAAGATAACCCTTTATTATTTATAAACTGGTTACATCAACCATCAAGAGTGTTTTATCACATTATTTAGGGTTTCGTAGATTCTCAAGTCAATATGATTAACTGAAAGAATGTTTGGCTGGGAAAAAACAATACAAGATGTAAGAATAACAGGAATGTGTACTGTTTAGGAAATCAGTGCCGAAACAGTGATGCTGTGCAAGAAGAGAAACTGATAATCTGTAGGTATAAACTGAAAAGCATGTACCTATTAGACATAATAGCTAATAAGGTTTATTACTTCATACATTTTAAAACTTTTAAATATTTTTCTGTTTTTATTTGGAAGCAAACATGTTTTTCCTTAACATTTCCTTAATTTACTAAATTCTCATCATCTTTTGAAAACATGCTTGTATCTTTTAAACAAAACGCAAACTCCATCAGTGAGCAAGAGTATTCATTACTGTACTGCTATTGGATACATTTATCAGATAGAAAGGAGTCACTGATACATTGTTAATAAGAGCTTCTGAAATTCAATAAACTTGGATTTGAGAAAAGGGATTAGAAAAAAAATACAAATCTTATTCCTCAGTGAAGGAAGATGAAATATCATAGGTAAAAATATTTATTTTGTCGTGTAGCTACTATAATAAATAAAGTTTGAAGTTCCTCTAGCTAATTAAGATTGGTACTAATGTAAAATTTAAGCAACAAGCAAAGGGGGAATTGTAGAAGGAAGGTGGTCTTGTAGTTAAATAGTAAAAGTACTCATTCTTCATGGAGGGTACTCATCGCCTTGGGGTGATATCTCCTCCTGGAGCCAAGAAGGTTTCATAAAAAGTTTTCCTCACATTTATCTCCTCTTTTAATTTATTTGCATTTACTTTGCTTTCGTCTTGTCACTGTTCCCTGTACCAACTTGTCTGTAAGAAGTCTCACCCTAGGGCCAAGGGGAGGAAGTTAGGAAGGCCTGCTAGCACTAGGAGATAGACAAGAGCTCTCTGTTTGGGCCATTATCTCTTTTGTTGCCAGATCAGATTTGTTGCATAGCTATTTTCCATCTTCAAGGCACTCACACAGAGTTTAGTTATGTAGGAGATAACTGAAGATGTATTGTGATTTATGAATATAGCATTTATTTTCTCATATATATTACTCGCTGCCCAGAGTCACATTGTTTGAGTTAGGTTGCCTTATAAATCCAATAAATGAATGTATGAATGAATGCATGCATGCTGATACAGTATAAGATTAGAGTCCACTGTATTAACATTCCAGTGATTCTGATATTAGATTGCTAGGTTCCTGCAGAATACATAGTTAGCTCTCTGTCTCATTTCCAGATTCATTTACAACATATATTCTTCCTGCTAGACCTATAGACTTCCTTCTTCTTCCTATTCTTCAGCTATTGGGGAAAGGAAAAAAGAATTTCTACCCATCACCTATACTATCTTGGAATATTATGTTGGCTATGTTTTCTCAGTTTTTAAGAAGTAATACTACAAGGCATTCACACTAGCAGGAGAAAGAAAATAAAACACTGCTATTGTATTGGGTATCTGTATTTATTCTCCTGTGTATTTTAGATTTAGAACTATAAAGAAAAGTCATAGGATACATGTTATTAAATTCTCCCATACCCTTAGTGATATTTTACAAAGATAAAGCTTATGTACCATGTATAATAGCAGTATAACGAACAGTATGTCAGTGTTGTTGAAGCAATTAAAAACTCATTATTAAAACAGCAGATATCTTGCCACTCTGTTATAGAATGCTGACCATGATCTTCTTTCCTTGAATGAAGTTATATAAGATAAAATCTCTCCTTAATGTTAAAAGCTCACCCTATTTATAGTTATTGATCTATTCATTTGTTTCCTAAATAGAGGATGTTTTCTGCCAATCCTATTCAGTTTATTAATATAATAGCTAGTGGAATATCTTTTTATAGAAATAAGATAGTGTTTACACTTCTCCTTGATTAATACTTTATCTGAAATGTGTCAGAGACAAACAACAAACAACACAATAGCTGTTTAAAAGCTATTCTCTGTTACTGTGCTTGTACAACTTTTAAGGTCCTCTCTTTTTTCTCAGCCGTAGTATTGGGTTTATTCACAGAAACCTTAGAGTTGAAAGGGATCCTACATGAAACTTATGACAACCTCTCAACCCATCAATATATTATCTAATTTATGTATTATATAGTTATTGGATAGTTTAAGATTATAATTGTATTATTCTTCAGTAATGTCTACATGAAATTAAATAGGATATGCTGATTTTTTAATTAGAAAGTTGATATTATCTCATTAAAAAAAAATAGTGAGACCTTATATTGTGGTATTAAAAAAAACCCTTTTCTCTCTTTTTTAAGCTTCCAAGTGAGGATAATGACATCTATGAGAATGCATCACAGTGCTTGTCATTGTTAGTTCAACTCTATGGTGGGGACACTATGGACAGCATGTCACCAGAAAATATGGATAGTTTTGCCGAAGTACTGCAGTGCAAAAAGGAAGTAAAAGATCAGAAGCTTTTGTTGAGAATCATTAAAAGATTGGTGAGTCAATTACTCCTTGGCTTTTTAAATTGTATATTTAGAATGCCAATTAACTAAGCTACATAAATGAAATAAGTATTTTTAAAATATGAAAGAGAAAAATTCTAGTACAATCTGATTTCATGTTGCAGCAGAAAATTCACCTAAAGAAATGCTAACAAGCAGAGAGGATCCAACAATCATTTTATTATTTCCAAAGCTATCAGATTTCTTGCATCCAGAAAAGCCAAGAGCAAGAGCCCCAAACTTGCATAGGTCTTATATAGAATGTTGATCAAAGAACATTTGAATCTGCATTTACGCTAATAGAAGACCCCAACAGGGAGAATTTGTTTAGAACTGAAAGGAAAAAAAGATAACTCTAAAGGAGACACTGGTATCTTTCATGGTGTGAAAAAAAATACACATTCTTTGGAATGCAACATAACAGCTTTGATATATGGCAGGTGCCAAGGCACTAACTGTTATTCTAACAAGTTGACCCTGTAGTTTACTGTGGAAGGATGGAGAGATAAGGAAGCATAACAATGTATATCCTTGAATCTACTGTCTTCATTCTCAGCATCAAGTCTATAGGTATTTATTATATGACATTATAAAAAGAATTCCGTACTAAAATAAGCCATCAGAGAAGCTACCATATAAACGTGACTATATATTCATATTCCAAATCACCATATTCCCCCATTTTTATTAAAATGATATAACCTGAAAGCATAAGAAGTGTGTTAATACCAGGAAGATTGTCTCTGTCTTTGTTTTCTACCACAAGTCCAGACCAGTTGTGGCAAACAAGAGAGACTAACTTTGACACAAGATGGACAACAGGTGAAATGCAGGTAAAGAAGTAAAGCGATTATCAAAATAACAAAAAGGCACCTTTTAAACACACATACACATACACACACACACACAAGCCAGGACAGATCCGGCAAAAAGGATCAAATCCAATTTAAAAATCAACATCCACATCCTGAGCTAACTTGTGGAAAAGAGTAGCTTGTTGATG